GACGGTGGAGGAGATGCATAGTAAGGAGAAATATCCTCTTCTCGTGAGTCTCTTTCTCCGTCAGTTAAGGGAAGGCAACGCATGTTTATGGGCAGCGGTTGCTTTCCATTTCGGTGGATTTAGGTGGCCGCTTGCTTGTTTGCCACCTTATAATGTAAAAAAAAATCTCCAGCACACTACAAGTCCCCACTGAAGGGCTCGAAGCCTACCCTAAATAAGAGGTGACTAGGCCATAGACAACCATGCTGCACTGCGGGTTAACTTCACCCATATCTTTTAATTTCTTCACCGATATGTGCAGGTTGTATAACGATGTTTCCTCCACCGTAAGAACGTCGGGTAATTATTTACATATGTAATTCGAAAATCACACTGGTACATGACAGGAATCAAACCCAGGACCTGTAGAATACGAGTCAAGTGTTTAAACCACTGAGCCACAGACCCCCTATCATGACATCAGCGTGGAACTATACTACTTTAAACCCTCCACCAGTCTCAATTGATCTCTAAATTTGATTGCTATTGTAAATTTTAGTTTGCTGTAAGTAGTCCTTAGTAAAAAACCCACCTACCAGAATTTAATGTTCTTGATCACTCAGTTGATAATGCTGTTTTTTTATTAATTTTATTCTATAACTTTCAGAATCATTCAACAGATCGAGGAATGAACATAATCTATCAAATGACAGTAACACAAACAGCAGGTATGTTAAATAAAAAAAACATTTTAAATAACTTGCTTCTATGGCACAAGTAAAAATAAGAAAAGAAATAATTTTAATTGTATTTTTGTTGTCATTCAAATGACTTTTAAAATATTAATTTATTTTTAACTAGCTTTCTCTCGCTACTCCGTCCGGGTGGAATTCAAAAAACGAAAGTAAGTAGCCTATGTCTTATTCCAGACCATCCTCTACATCTATTCAGAATTTCATCATGATCCGTTTACCTACTTAGATTACAAACTCTAACATCCATCCATCCAAACTTTCGCATTTATAATATTAGTAAGATTACCTTTTAAATAAAATGTGTGCAGAGTACCGGAGCTAGAGGAGCGCTTGAGTGTCTGCCAGCAAGAGTTGGATGAGCTGAAGGAGAGGTACCGGGAGCTGGACGAGGAGTGCGAGACGTGCGCCGAGTACCTGCGGGAGAGGGACGACCAGTGCCGCAAGCTTAAGAAAGAGAAGACCACTCTAGAGGTAACTATTTGAAAAAATGATTACTCTGGTAGAGTAGGCGATTTTAGTGAAAATGTGCAAGCCAATTGACCTTTTAAGCAAATAAGAAGTATATTTTTTGCTTATTTATTCGGATTATTATATTTTTTTAATATGATTAGGGTTTATTCTTCCTTATTTCTTGTCATTAATCGTTAGTACAATGTTTTCAGAACATCATAAAGGAGTTGAACGAGAAATTGCAACGCGGCCATGACACAAGTCGCGGCGGCGCTAAGGTTAGCTACGCGCACGCCGCTGTTAATACGGACGAAGGTATTTTTTTTCTTAAGACACTAATCATTAAAGTAAAATAAAGTAATTTAGTGAACTCGTGATATTTAATTTTCCTTTATTTTTTTCAGATTGGGCAAATCTACATTCAGTGGTAGTAGACAGAATGTCATTCGACGCTGAAGTAGAGAAGAATAAGAGATTGACAAAAATCATTGAAGAATTACGAATGAATAAGCAAGAGTTAAAGGCGGTTATGGCAAAAATGCAGCGAGCGCTAGAAGAGAAGACGGGTAAAGATGGTAGAGATAGAGAACTGGAGAGAACGAGACTGGAGTTACGGTCGTGTAAAGAGGAATTGGAAGAATTCAGGAGAAGGAATGTCGAGCTGGACGAGGAATGTGAGACTTGTGCGCAGTATTTGAAAGAAAAAGAAGAACAGTGTAGAAGTTTGAAGGAAACTATTGCAGCGTTAGAGGTAATTTTTAGTCTTTTATTAAAAGTTAATCTCAACTACATTTTCGAAAACATTGTTTTCATATCCTCTATTTTTATATTGAACGCAATTATTATTATCAGACAAAAATCACGCATTACAACTGACACTTATTATTAACTAGCTGTTGCATGTGACTACGTCCACGTGAAAGTAAAAAAAAATATAGCCTATGTTAAATGCCTTTTCTAACGGTGAAAGAATTTAAAAAATTGGCCCTGTAGTTTTTGAGTTTTAATACATACAAAATCCAAAAATATATAAATACAAATCTTTATTATAGTACTATAGATAAAATCATACTACCAGCGGAGTTATGAGGTAACAAAAAACATAAGTCTAAGTGAGAGCCTTTTTTAATTTGCTGTACAGGAGAAGTGCGGGCAGGGGGCTGGTGCGGGGGGTGCGGGGGGCGCGGCGGGCGCGCGGCGGCGGCGCCAGTCGCTGCACGACAACAACCGCGACAGCACGCCGCCCGCGCACTCCGCCTGCTGCGATGTCGCTACACAAATCACAGAAGGTACTTTTTTTTTGGGCGACGCTATGACCCCTCATGTTTTGGGATACGGACTTTAAGATGCATTTTTGTTTTATTTCTTACAATAAAAAATCTACAACTGATATCACAAATTATCACTTATAACTATGTTAAAAAAGTAAAAGATTAAAACGCAATCTGTAAACAATTAAAATAAAATACATTTATACATAATTTTAGAGCTATTATGTTATGCGTTTAGAAATCTTGTATGTTGACAGGCTATACAATTTCGATTTATGCCCGGTTTACACTTGGACAGTATAGTTGCTCAATAACGCTCAGCAACTGGACTGGCAGTCAAATGGCATAGTGTGAACTAGTATTCATTTAGTAATGGCGCTAGTAAGTCTATACAATTTATGACTGAACGTTGCATTCAACTGTACTGACGTGTAAACCAGGTATAACGCCATTTTGGCGATGACGTGATGATAAAATTGAGAAGCAAAGGGTTTTTGTGGTGGGGTGATGATCTTATTTTTTTGGGTTTCAGATTTCCTCAGTTACCAAGTGGAGCGCGACCGCACGAAGCCGGTTCCTGATGACATTCATACTAAACAGATCAAGCGGCTCAAAATGGTATGTCTTGTAAAATCTATACTTAAAATTATCAATACGAAAGTTTACATGGATGGATGGATGTTTGTTAGAGTTTGTAGCCCTAACGGCTGAACGAATATCGCTGAAATTTGGTGAAGAAATAAAGAAGAGTCTGGAAGAACACATAGGCTAATCTCTTTTATTTTCTCAATTCCACGTGAACGAAGTCGCTAAAACTATCTATAGTAAATATAGATTTTTATATAAAATGTATTTCTACCAGTAAGGTACTCTAAAACTACAAACGTCGATGTGTTTGTGTGCAGACAGTAGAGAAGCTGTGCAAGGAGAAAGCCGCACTGGAACAGCAGCTGGTGTCGGCCGCGACAGCCCCCGTGTACGTCGCCACGGGCAGCGCTATCGTGCAGGTAACATATATTTAAAACTACCCCTAATTTCGTAATCAAAATTGCTTGTGCTTAGTTAAATAATTTTATTAAATAATTGTAACGAAAATTATTTAAATATAATTCTTATGGAAACTGATGGAGGAGTAAAACACCCCAGGTCGGGATTTAAAATTAAAATTATTACAGGACCAGCAGTTTACCGATGTCATGAAGGAGAACCAGAAACTGAAGAAGACGAACGCGGCGCTCATCGCGCTCTGCAAGAAGAGGGAGAAGAAAGCCACAGTCAAAAACAACAGAGAGAACCAGGAGCCTACGGAAGAGATCTGAATTACCTGATTATACTAAAATATACTCATTTTTTAATAATATCACTTATTTGATTAGAAGCTGGACTTTATTTTTCTATGATAATTTTTGTTTTAATGTTTTTCAACTTTTTTAATATTTGGCACAAAATGAGAATGAACCTTGATTTATGAAGACTTTGACATTCCGCAGTTTTTGTTTTCTGGAAGAGTTTTGTGCCATTGGAAATGATTTTATTTCAAGTATTATTAAGTACAAATTTGTTTCTCGTACTTATAAATGATTGTGTTGTGCTTTTTAATGACCAATTAAACGTAACAATATTAAATATTTCTTAATGTAAAATTAATATATACGTTTATGTAAAATACTTGATATAATTGTGATTAAGATGTGATTGATTATTGACGTACATTTTATTGTAAATGGATCCGTTGCTAATAATAATATTCTGATGATTAATTCGTGTTTTATTAACCATATTATGACCTAAATGGTAAAATTAAAATTATCTAGTTAAGTCTGAGAGCGCGGCATGCACACCTCAAGACAACCACTTTTGTCGAAGGGCCACTTTAGACACCCCTGTAACTTTAGACAACTCTAAACTCTTACAGTAATACGTGTTTAATCATAATTTTAAGGCACTTCTCATATTGCTACAAACTTGAATTTAGGATTTAATCAGTGGTCTGTCTATAGATGTAGAATATAAAAAATCTAGATTATAATTTGGAAGCCAGATGAATCAATATGGTGGGTGTAACTTTATTTCGTTCTAGACAAGGTATTTTTTGATTGAGGTACAAAATAGTACATATTCTTAGTAAATGGTATAATTCGCTATGGTACACCCGCCATTTTGAATCTCACGAAGTGAGACTCCACATTTTTTTATCTGTACTAACATAAAAAGAAACAATTTGTATTTCTGTGTATGTATTCGACTCACGTAAAAACTATTGGGACGATTTTAATATATAATGTTTTTCGTGGGATTACTTTTTACTAAACTATTTCTAGGTTCCCATAAATTAATACAACTATTTTATAGTAAAAACTTTATTAAAACGACACATGAGTAGTGGAAAAAAGGTATTTTAACAATGCATAACGTTTACTACAAAAACATTTAGGACAAAACCATTTTTTTAGAACTATAATTTCGCACTTATTTTTTAAAAATAGTAAACGTATAGTGTACAACAGTGAAATCATTAATAATAAGTAATTCTAACATTAAGTTAAGTTAATTAACCTTAAGTTAATTAACCTAAGTTAATTCTAACATTGAAAAGTACTGGAGTTTATTCCAATAGGTAAACTTAAATATAAAATAACACAGATCCTATTAAAATGATTTCCGACATATATAAAAGTAACCATCTTCGTAACACAGGAACACGATTAGATATATTTAGTATGCTTTGCTATAATTGAATGCACAGCATTTTAATTATTCCGCTTAGTACTAAAGCATACACATAGAATTAATGTATAAACCTCAACTACGCAAAAAACACTGGGATTATTTTTAATATACCAGATGAGTAAAATTATAAATGATTACAAACGAGATGTTGTTAGTTCGTTAGTAATAACGAATTTTGTTATTAAAAAACATTTACATATTAACTAAATCAAAATCGTCCACCTTTAGTTAACATCAGATTGACTTTCGCTGTCTTTGGAACCGGTTGCATATTCTTTTAAAAGGAGTTCCATCTTAGACGGCAACTTCTCCATATCTCCCTCAGTTAGAGATTCCGTTTTTACTTCTGTGCTATCTAATTCTTTATTACTTCTTAAAAGTTGTTCCATTCTAGAAGGTAAATCATTTTCTTCAATGTCTTTAATTTCATTAGTTCCTTCTTTTTTGTTAGTCAACAGGAGTTCCATTCTTGTTGGTAACTCCGCTAAGGAATCTTCTTCAGAGTCGGGTTTCTCTTTGGGCTTGATATTAGACTTGCGTTCTTCAATTTGGTCAGCGAATGTAGTTTGTCCAGCCAGTTTGGCCATCTCCGCAGCTAAACACAGAAACTCCGGCTCGTTGGATTTGCCCATGCAGTTCGCCGCTTGGGCGAGGTCACCCATAGCTAGATGACTGAAATTAACCAAAATATTAATATTATTATTTTTTATAATCCACTAATAAATTAAATAAAAAAAAATTAAAGTTATTATTAGTATAGTATATTATTAGTATTTCTACTATAGTAATATTGAATTAAATATAGAAATACTGTTTATTTTAATTTTAATACATTACATTTGTAAATAAATAATTTAA